ACTTTTATAAACAATTTAATAATTTAATTTAACCATAACAGCAACACAGAACCTCAACTTGTTAAAAAAAAACACCAAAAAAATAATAACAACTGTCCACCATCCTCTCCAATAAATTAAATAATCTGTCCATCCTTTCCCGCCTCCCTCTGCCATCTGATATCCTCCCTGATTAAATCCACCAACTCGTCACTCCTTCTTCTCATCCTCCTTTCCCTCCCATCCTCATTTTCCTCCTCATCGTCGCCCTGATGCTGCCCAGCCTCTGCAGCACCTGGCCCTGCTGTGTCCTCAGGGATGGAGGCAATTAGGACAGGTGGGGCAACAGAGGGCCTCTGTCCTAATACCTCATCCATGAGGACAAACTAGGGCCAGGTGGCAGCAGTAGGCTTCCCACTGACCCCCTGCCCTGTCCCTGGATCTTTGCATTCCTAAAGTAGAGGAAAACAATTTGTGTCAACAGATGCAATTGTCTGTAGTGTTTCTTTAAAGCTAGAAAAAAGGAGTGTTTCATGAACTGGATGGATTGATGAAATTCTACAGAAAAAGAGACGATTTTGGAATGGAAACTTGGAGATGACTTTTTTCAAGCTTACTCAAAGTGTAAATTAACCTGAATATAAAATATGTAAGATGTCATTTCCCTAAACATACACACACACACACACACACACACACACACACATATACATATATATATATATATATATATATATATATATGTATGTGTGTGTGTGTGTGTGTATATGTATATATATGTGTGTGTGTATTTCATTACATTATCCAAATCTGAACGCACTTTGTATTTTTTCTTCAAGTTGTCCCACTTTTTTTTTACCCTCCAGACCATTTTTTTTTTTTTTGCAGGATTGTTCTAAACAAGAGAAATGAGAAGAGATAAACAATCAAGGATCACTTCTATAACAAATATAAGATTTACAAAAAGTGGCATCTGAGCATCATTTGATGTGATCAAAAGATTATATTTGTATGTCGGTGTTTGAACAGGACTTCTTTTAACTTGTGTGACTTTTACATAGAAATGCAACATGTAGATGGAATTCTGCCTCAACTCTTCCCTCCATCTGAGTGCAGCAGTATTTTTGGCCCCGATGATAAGGTGGTAATTATATCCACTCCTCTGTCTGCTCCCTGCTTCCTGGAACCAAATGACATGTAAATCATATTTCTGTTATGTCAAAATGCAAAATGACAGTTCTATATAATTACGCCGGTATTGTTCTTCAAGTGAATTATACTTTAAACCTTATTATACTGTACTGTAAATCAACTATACGTTATTGAGTATTCAAGCAAAATTTTTGCAGTATTAACAGCCCAGTACAGCTGGACTAATGTTATTTCTTCAGCTGCATTAAGCTTTGACAGTTCTAATCCTTTGTAATAAACTGTATGAGAATAAAACGATCCGATGTGTGAGGGATATCAGCACAGTGAAGATGTATGTTAAAATCAAAATTTATGACATTTGTATGAAGGCTTTTAATGTTGATGAGCATCTCGTATCAACAGGTTAGCTCTGAGCTTTAGCTTTAGCTGATCCCACACCTGGTGGCTCCGTTACCGTCATGTATTTTAATAGATGTTCAGTAAAAAAAAAAAAAAAACTACTTACATTTAAACGTGTACTCAGGATTACTGCCGCCGCTGCTGCTGCTGCTTTTCATTGTGCGTAACTTGAAGAAAATCCAACTTTTTTCTCTCTCTCTCCTTCTTCTACTACAAAAAAAAGCGCGCAAAGCACCTGGGGAAATCTAGTGGGAGGCGAGGCCACTAAGGATGGTAGCGGTGCATCCTCAGAATTCGGGGAAAAGGAGGACACATTTGAAGGCTGCATTTTAAGCATCCTCAGAATTTTTGCCAAATGGGACGGCCTCCACGCAGCATTGTGATGTAACCTTGAAATGCATCCTTCGAAGGACGCAGCCTGCGCATTGAGACGCAGCGGTTGTCACTATCCGATCCATCCTGCAAGCACAAAAACACTAGATTTATGTTCAATTCCAAAGCCGAAAAAGTTAGCCACCGGAAGTAGCGTAGGATCCCATTTCCGATGCAGATCGGTCAGAGACGACTGATAAAAGAAAGGATTTTAAGGCATTTATTTTCTCAAGAAATACATTGTTAACCTTTAACACATTATATTTTAGTACGTTGACTATTTTTGGGGAGGGAAAACGTCATTCAGGTATTTTTAACAAAATGAAATCGAGGACGACCCGAAAGTATATCTGTAGAGCGAATCGTGTTTCTGGGACGGATCGGTAGTGACTAAAGGTGGGCGATACTGGGAATTTTCAATCAATAAGATACCATGTAAATACAGGGTCAGTATCGCTGATATCGATACCATACCGATACTTTTTAACATCTAAGCTTGATGTATCATGGAACTTTCGATCTTTCAGTGATTTTATTTAATATTACAATTGAATAATAATAGTATTAATAATGTAATGCTAATATAGTTAATAACTGACCACTTTTATTATTTTTTCAATCCTTATGTGATTTTGTTTGTATTGTGTGTACTTGCCCTTTGCTTTAATTCTATAAAGTTCCACAATGTGGGATAATTAAAGGATTAGCTACTGTTAGCACACTTAAATAACACGTTCTAATGGGATAAATGTAATGGGTTCTTTCAAGGTCTTAATTATACTTTCTGGGTAGGCTGCAGTAACATATGACATATAACTTTGAAAGTTAAAGGTATATAATGTTATTTTTCCAGGTGGATCATCAAAATAAATGGTAGTAATACTGGTGGTGAGTCTAACCCTTAATGAAGTGCTGCTGAAGGTGATCACTCTTGGATATTTTCTGGAGGTCTGAAACACCTGTCAATCATGTCTGACTGAGGGTCTCTCGGGCAATGAGAATATTTTTTCTCCGTTTCCGAACCTCGACGTTTTCTAGCTCATGATTTTTCATGTACTTTTTAAACTGCATTTAACCAGCTTTTTACAAATCATACAGCTTGCAGTTGTTTAAGGGGAGGATCTAGGATCTGTTCCCCTCCATAACATGGGATTAAATTAATTCACCTGCAAGTCTTTATTAACTGTGCTTATTCCTCTCTTCATCAACAACAAACTCTGTGGATTTAGGGTCGTTTAAACAATATTTGCCAAAGTTATGAAGGGGGAATCAGTGGAGGAGTTTAAGTATCTTGGGGTCTAGTTCATGAATGAGGGGAAGATGGAGCGGGAGATCGGCAGGTGGATTGATGCGGCATCTGCTGTGATTTGGGCCCTGTACCAGTCTGTGGTTGTGAAGAGAGAGCTGAGCCAAAAAGCAAAGCTCTCGATTTACCGGTCGATCTACGTTCCTACCCTCATCTATGGTCAGGAGCTTTGGGTCATGACTGAAACAATGAGATCCTGGATACAAGCGGCTGGAATGAGTTTTCTCCGTAGTGTGTCTGGGCTCTCCCTTAGAGATAGTGTGAGGAGCTCAGTCATCCAGGGAGGACTCAGAGTAGAGCCGCTGCTCCTCCAC